CGTGTTTTTTTCTTCGTGAAGTTGCAAAATTTATTGCGAAAATTGCGTTTGCTCTCTGCCGTTGGAGACATGTCGTGGGATGTCGCCCCATGGGCATACCCTGCGTAGCCGCGGTCGATAGTGGGCCTGGTCGGCATAATGACTCCGTGTGTCAGAATTTAAATGTCCGAAGACAATATTGAATTTGCATTAGGGCTTCATCAGTGTAATTCAGTTAAGGTAGCCATAACTGCCTGATTGTAGTGCGTGACTGCGCACATGAGTAACGAACAGTTGCTACTGCGCGTGGCGCTGTCGTAACGTGCTGCTGTTCCGTTGTCATGTTATAACATGCGGCTGTCTCGTGACTGTGCGTACTGTCATAAGATGTTGTGCTGTCGCAATATTGTAACGTGCTGCTATCCCGCCTCTCTGCTGTAACGTAGTGTTGTATACGCAAATATGATTTTATTTAAAAAATTGCGTCGTAATCTTGTGCGTGTGACTGCGTGTGACTGCGTGTGTATAGGCTGAAGGAATCTAGTTCAGTGCGTTCTTAGGCATTCAGGGATTCATTACCTTTGTCCTGCTGGCTGTTAACATTTTCCTTTTCACCTGATGCACATTGACCTAGATAAATTCATTTCGCTCAAGGAATTTCTTTGTTCTGATAGAAATCGCCTCATCTACCTTTCGGTTTTTGTTTCAGTTCGCTTCGTTTGTTCTCGTTTTTTATTACAGTTCTGTTCAATCTAGCTGACAATAAATAATCTATTATTGGCTGGCAAAAAAATTAGGATGCTCGTATAATTTCTGATTACTCATATAATTGCAACACTAAAACTTGACCTAATTGTTACGTGGAGTGAATGCGATGAATAGAAAGTGGCCCGCATGGCGCGTATTGAAATTGCCGGCTGAATAAATGCGGGCTTTTTCTGGCCTTATTCAGGTTTGAAAATGACACCGGCTTCTGAACCAGTTTTGAGCGTTAATATTCTGTCGAGGCGCGATCTAATTTTTCTATGGCTTTAGCATCTGCGTGGTAATGAGTCATAAATTCATGGAAACCCGTAGGTAGTCTCACGTTAAACTGCAAACGTGACAAACTCGTTCATGTCTGCTTGAGGTTGGCGTGTGTGAGTGAGTCTGTGCAGCCGCATTTGAAATGTTTTCGGGGATTCTCGCAATTAAATGTTCTCGGATTTTTATAAGGCACATATAAAGATGCTTACGTATTGAAACTCTATGCGTCCGTGATCGCTATTTAAACTGCAATGCTTCAATGCTAGTTAAATTTCTAGTGGTGTTTTATCTACAAATGTTAAGTAATCATCTTTGTTAGAGTCTCTATGTTCTAATTTTCTTTGAGTAGTTAAAGTCGAATTTCAGTTGTTCTAGAACATTACACGAGTTTATTCGCGCTTTTCGTCTTTGTGTCTCCACACTGTTGCCCCTGAAAGAACCTATCCCTATATAGTAGTGTTTGCTGTTATAGTTGCGACCACAATTTACTCATAATCAGTACCACAGTGGCCATTTTCCGGCGGAATATTCATGAGCAAGTGTAGGCAAATGAGAACGTAATTTATGCTGCGTCTTCGGTCTGCGCAAGCAAAATGTCCGCTAATTACAACGTGGCCTACTGCCGGCGTGGAACGTACACATGTGTCGAGTGTATCCTCCGTTTTGACTTTGTCTCCTCACAAAGCCATTTGTTTATGCAATAACAAAGAGCCGCGGTGGACACGAGCTGTCATTAGCTGGCGACTGCCCACTCTGTTTACAGACATCACATGTTTCTGCTGCTCCTCCCATAAATGTTAGCCCGCGGCTACAAGGGGGCAGGGTGTAAACGGCACCTCTATTGAAAGTGTTAGATCCGGTCAACACAATCCACGCGCGCGCCGTAAATTGCGGTCGAACACGGTAATTGCGTCTGCACGCTGCTGGCACAAAGTGTAGTCGATTCACAAATTGTACACTGCCGGATGTTTTCCTTTACTCCCCCTTCTTCCCCTGTTAGCTGATTGCGATTTTTTAGCGTTATTATAAAAGGTCGCATGTAACGCTTTTGTTGTTTTATCATTTAGACACAATTAAATTTCTCGCGCGTGCCTCGTCGATTCAGCCGTTTCCGACACCGCGACGCGTGTCTCTGCTATTGTAACGCTCACTAAGTAACTGTAATGATTTTTGACGTGTTATAACACGTTGGCGCATCGTGTTCATCTGTATCATCGATACGATACTCGTGACAAGACACAGCGCTGGTTTAGAAATATTAACCGTCGGTTTTTCATGTCTGTCTGTCCCTCTCTCCCCGTTCACTATTTTTTTTTACTTCCTACTGCCTTCCTCCTTCTCCTCCTCCTCCTCCTCCTCTCTCTCTCTCTCTCTCTCTCTCTCTGCGTGTGTGTGTGCTTATGCGTGTGCGTGTCCATGCACGTGCGTGCGCGATTGTATACGCGCTTGTGTGCGTGTATGTGCGCGTGCGCGTGTGTGCCTGATTGTGCATGCGTGTGCATGCGTGTGCGTTCGCGTACGTGCCTGATTGTGCGCACGCTTGTGCGTGTGTGATTGCGTGCGTGCGTGCGAGTGTGTGCCTGTTTTTCGTTCCACTCTCGTGCTTTCTTTCGTCCCCCTCTCCGTTTATATACTTACCTTCATACTTTATTTCATTTATTTCTCCCATCACGTATTATTTTGCACTCAGTTGAACTGATTGCGACTAGTTTTATTTTTATAGTAAATAAAACGAAATGCGAATGCCAATATTTATATCCTGCTAATTTTAATAATTTCCGGGCACTTTACGGCAAATTACCACGTTACCACGTTTACAACACGTTATGCTGTTGAGTGGTGCGGGATTGGATTTGCCCATCTTAGAAGCATCGCCTCATTCTGAAAGAGACGTTAATATAGTCTGCATGCAACCCGAGCATCGAAAACGACAAGGGCATAACTACAACACCCATCACAGAGTTGCTGCATATTGCATCTTTCCTTTTGCGGGAAATTCCTGTTAACTCTATCAAACATTTCCAGCTAATACTAGCGGCATCTGACTGATCATCAAATGCGTTCTAATCTTATTATAGGCAGTTTCACAGCGTTAATCGCCGCTTTGTAAGTCAAACCCTCCCACTTTCCTTACTGAAGATTGATAGTTCTTCTACGACGTCGTATACTCACAATTGTCTTGTCGTGGGCGTCTGGGTATAGCGTTCAAGCAAACGCCCATGTACTCTACATTTTAAAAGTAGGTCCTATACGGGTCGACGCGTGATTCACAAATTATCTCTCTATTCCAGCAAATTGAGTACTGCATTTCTATTCTCCTGCTCTTTTGGCTCCCTATACAAAAGAAAACTTGCGTCGCACGTCATGCGGCGTTTAGGGACCGCGCGGGGTGAGTCTGACGATTGTATGACAAGGCACATTTTCTGTCAAGCATACATATCGGAATAAAAACACGTAAAAACAGTTTAATGGTTACGCGTCCATTTTTTGCTTTGGACCTAATTTCCGACGTGCACACATCCTATGCAAATTTGCATACAACTGTGCGATCATACGTTCACTCTGTGCTGTGTGTTCAGTGAAGCCACGTGTGACAGCTTCAATCCGTGACGGTCGTGCATGATTGTTGAAAACAATTTTAGCGTGTTCATGCAGAGCTAGTTTATGTACTCGTGCATTATTAAATCAGCCTCTCTCACACCCGCGCGGAGAGCGTGGTGTACGCGACAGTGTGTAGCATACACATCGTATCACTATATCATGCACGAGGGAATTGCTCGTTTAAGCGCTGAGTCGCGGAAGAACGGTTGAGAGAACGGGATAACGATCGAAAGAAAACGGGGGTTTGTCGAGTTTAAAGCGAGGGAAACAAGTGTGGGATACGTCTAGAAGATAGATGCCACCATACTGCGTGTGAATGTGCGCTCAGCGTCGTGAATGACGCAATACGCTTCTTGTATGAACCACAAAGATGGCTGAGAGGTAGCCTCATTTGTGTGTATATTGTCGGAGGAAGCATAATCAGGCGTGTGAGGTCACGGAGCATCAGTAATGGTATGTCTGGTAGTAATGAAAAGCTCGAGTGAGTATGGCTGATGCTCAAGACTGACATACATTCGAACCAGTAGCGAAACTAATGGCAAACTCGTATAGTCGGCGCTATAACAGAGCGCACTACTCCAACCGCAATGATTAAATAGCCTTGCTTGAAATACGGCTTTTCTTCGGCTGGTGTTTTATGACCGGTTGTCTGCGCAGTGTAAAACGTTTCCCCAATCTCAGTTATCGTCTGTATAGACATTGTTTTCGAGCGACAAAACCGCCCATGATTTGTAGAGACCAGCTTTCAGTACGAACACGTTCCTTTCAGCAGCGATGCGCTGCGCCCAGCGACTGACTATCTATGCATTTCTCGCGTGACAGTACGATGACAAGGCCTTTATATATGTGGCTCATTTCCTCCTGGGCAACCCCCACAGGTGCTGCATTTCAGGTATTTACACGAAATTTCCTCCCTTCCCCCGGCCTCATGAAAATTCATTAGCCAAGCAGTCTGTTTTCACGCATAATGCTGTGGGAGCAGAGATGGGTGTGCAAATTGGTCACAACAATGATTACCGTAGAGTAATTAGCGAGCAGTGAGAATCGCTGGCTGGCCAGCAGATGATAGTCGTTGTTCACCGCCTATGAGAGCGAGTAGCACCCGATAACCTTTTAAAGTGGGATTTAAGCCGGTAAGAATAGACAGACACGGCTACTATATACACGCGCGTTACCGGCAAGGTTCGTGCTGTCCTGTTCAGCAGGGACGGTGTTCGCCGCGTGTGCTCGCGTCGTCCGTCGCTGCCTCCCCCTTCGCGCGCGCGTGCGAGCGCCGCTGCGTGCATTGTTCCCGCTTCCCACCCACCCTTGTAGGGCCCCCGCGTAAGTGTGGGGATTACACTACGCTCGCTGCCGCAGCCCATGCGCGCCTGCAATGGAGCAACTGCCCATAACATTAAGCGGTAGTTTGGACTATGACTGTCAAAACAAATGCATGCGGCTGCAGTATTTCAAGGCGTGAGCGCGGGAGTGAGGTGTATCGTGACCGTGTATTTATATTCGGTGCGCACGCTTCGCGCAGGCGACTGTTAGCGCTCGGAGTTCACCAGGAAGAGTCGTCACTGTGCGTGGTGTGTGAGCGCTGTCACAGCGGTCGGTTCACATGCTGATGCTGAGATATTTTTCCTGCTGATTTTGTGATGTTGACAAGCGTAGCTAATGCGTAGCTGAGGCCGGGCTATTGATTGATAGGACCTGCGAGCTAGCAAGTGAAAGGCGGATTCTCAGTGATAACGGCTGATCATTTGATCACGATCATCATCATCTCCATATGTGATAAGTATTTGGGAGACGTTTGACGTGGCGTTGCTCATACATGAATCGACTTCCCCCTGTCCCCAGCGCAGCGCGTCAGACGCCGTCAGACATTGACGACAAAATGCCAAACACGTTCTCACCTCAGTGGTGACGCATCTCACCTCAGTGGTGACGCAGCTTGCGTCCGTCGACGACGTCAGCCCATGATGACGCAGACGCATAGTCGCTGCTGAACGAAGCCGAGCGTCGGTAACAACGGACATCGCGGTGTCGGACGGGGCCCGCGCAGATGGAGGTGTCCAAGCTAGCAGGCAAGCTGGATAAGCAGGAACTGCAGGCGATGTACTTGCAGACGGCGATAGATTTCATCTACGACTCGCCGACGATCACCGGAGCCGAGGCGGCCCGGGAGGTCCGCCGCGACGAGCAGCACGCGGGGTAAGTTATCGCTGCAGGGCTTCACGGCTTCACCTATACCGCGCGGGCACCGCGGTTAACTCGACCCGCCCGCCAATTCGTCTCGTATTGCGCGGCGGGTTTACCCGCCTGGAGGTCGGCCAGCTCGGCTCGTGGGGGCTGCGGACCCTTCACCTCACCCCCGAAACTCTTTCGACGGAGGTTGCCACCGCGCTGCTGTTGATGCTGCTGCTGCTGCTACACTGCAGTGGGCTTCAGGTCGCTGTGAGGTCAGGTGTCGGGTGACATCTGTCGTCGGAGGGTTGCGCGAGAATCGTAGGTGGAGTGCCGCGGTTGCTAATGCTTTTCTAGCCCCGCGCTGTTACCTACGATGTACTGATCAACAAAGTGATTCACAGATGTTCACCGTGTGTTAAAAAATGTTTACGCGCGTCGTCGTCGTCGTCGTCGTCGTCGTCGTCGTCTGCTTTTCCGCGTCAGCTGCGTCTGATGCCTTAGGAGACATTGTAGCCGTCGGGTTTTGTGGCATGCGCGGATACGAATTTCAATTTACTCGGAGTTCTCAGCGTCGATAATAGGCTGTCAGATAATAATATAATTTGTGCGAAGAACGTAGTAGTGCGACGGTCGCAGCTGTGACGACCTATAGAAGCATTTGTTAGTGAGAACAAAACGCCACAATTGGAAACCTTTTAATTGACACCTGTCACTGAATATATTGAATATATATTTACTAACTAGTTACCTGGCGTATAATATGCTGTCGTTATATCTGTATGATTTTATACGATACCCGATTAAATTAACGTATACAACTAAGGTAATTGTTTGACTGCATTGTCAAACATGAGCATACGAGGATCACCTATTTCGTTAAAGTACCATATCGGAAGAAGATCGAAATCTCAACTTTACGGTTAAGAATTCTTACTGGAAACACCCTGATCTTCGCCGCATTCCCCCCAGAGGTCTTTGCTATTTGCAATTTATGTAATTCCTCGCGTATGATCAGAGTACATCATTTGATCACATCATCATTTTACATCATCATTTTAGTCCATCATTTGTCTCCCTGTTTTTGAAAATAGTGCCGAACGTGCACTACTAGCTCCTGATTATCAAGCTCTTGCTCAAGCTTCTCCTCTCTCTCTATATACGTGACTGTCCCCGTCGTGCCCCCACTCCCCATCTCGACTGACGGGAAAATATGCCATACATTAAGTAAATATCGAAGAAAAAACATCACGACGTTTAGTAGTTAGGAGTTGGCTTTTTACTATGCTTCGTTTGCTCGCCGTGTTTAAACGCGTTGATTGTGTCAATTTGCAACTGCATTTTGAAATGCATCGACAGAAGAAGTAGTTTGGATGTGTAAACATACGCCGCTGCCACCAGGTCTAGGGCAGATGTACACAGCAGGACCGAGCACACAGTCGCGCGAGACGAATATTCTGCCCATATGTTGTTTTAATCCACATCCAGTGTTCTGGAATCATATATAGCTTCGTCCGCCAATAATATAGCGGCAGCGATATTACATTGATTTTGTGGAAATTATCAACGCGTTTTAATTAAGCGGCTATTAATAGACACTTGCGCAGCAGTGGCTTATCTCGTGCATGTTTATTCATCTGTGGGCGTTATTGTAGGGACGCTGAGGATGTAGCTCAGGAGGAGGCCTTGCGCGGGATTAAGGAATTGGTGGGCACTCACTGTTCAGCTGCCGTGTAATCTTGACAGTGCATGTTCTCACGCGGTGCCACCGCTGGTGCTTCAGCATTCATTAGCGAACACCGCGCACACTGCGCAGATCGCGAGTTGTTAGTGTGGAAATATCACTAATTCCGCTTTATGCGCGGCGATTTGCATAGATCACGGAGATGGAGATGGAGATAGACAACTAACCCTCACGCGGGGTTGTATTGATTCGCCTTTGTTCGCCATTTAATTTGCTGCTTGTCTTTCTTGTATTGTTACCCTACTTAATTTAGTGTTACTTTTACTCGATCTATACTGTTGCAGACGAGCAGGCAGATGTCGAAACGAGAAACAATTTCAATTTCTATATGCTATACAGATCAAAACTATGAACCTAAATCAATCTTGGATCGAGTTCAACTCATACACAGTCAAGTAGATACGTAGGGCCTACTCAGTGAATTTGCGCGCTCGAGATATTGCAACTTCGTATGAGAAGTATTGAAATTCCATGAGATCATCGCGTGATAAACGGAAGTCTACTCCCGCGTGACGACAGCCGTATAAATGTCGCCGTCTCATCCGGAGCATGTCGTCGGCTGTCGTCAGCAGCTTCTGCGCGACGTCGTCGCCGACGGCGATGGTGACGCGACCTTGCAGCACCTGCCGAACATCGTCTGCTCGTTGTTTTTTTAATGACAGGTGAACTAGCAGCAGTGTTCGACGCTGCTCTCACACCCCGTACACCCGTACACGCTGTCCATACCACGCTCGCTGTCCCGCCCCTCTCACGTTGATCTCACACTGAGGCATCGTCGCGGGTTCAGCCTGCAAATTAGATTGTCAGCTCGGTGAAATGAGAAAATCTACTCGACCATATAGAAAAATCATCGAGTTGCGAGCGCTTTGTTCAGCGCATTTAGGGGGCTCGGGGCTCGACTGCGCCACAACAATTTTTTCCCGCCGTTGTCGAATGCGAGTACTTGACAGTTGTCTGGTTGCTCGTTGAGATGAGCTAATGAAGCGCGTACACACAGCAGTGAGACCGTTGCACCCGCCGGCTTCCCCCAAATCTCTCTCTCACCTGCGAACGACCTTCTGCGCGCACACCCGACGTTGCCGACGAGTATTTCGTGTGAAAAGCTACACTCAAAAAACTGAAGTGTAAAACCAGTTACACTTATCGAGTGTTACATTATATATAACACTTGAAGCGTCATTCCAAGTAATACAGGTGTCAGGTATGTAATCATAAAGTGTTAAAACAGTGACACTTTTTTTAGTGTCAAAACTTTACACTATATGTGTCAAGCTGAGCTCCCCAATCTCTTATAAGAGCTCCATTCCCTGCTCTCACTTTCACGAGAGTTAACATTGTTCTTTGTTCATAAAGTTATTGACTTGCGCAGTGGCTGGAGGTACGGCAGCCGTATCTTAATGTCTCGAGGCTACGGGTACGGCAGTCCATTTGCGCATGCGTCGCTTTCCCACAAAATAATGCCGTTGGAAATTAATTCACGATTTAATTCACGATTAAGATTTCTTGATGAGCTAGAAAACACTCGGATTTGAAGTATGAAAATGAACATTATTGTGCCAGCTATAGCCTACACCAGTTGGTTGGGATTGATTGTCAGTTCAGATGCAAAATATTGAAAGCAAAAGGTTATACACCATAGATTAATTTGGGTACTATGACACGCGTATATAAGATAGCCGAGTCGGTTTAGAGTTAGTGTTAGGTTAGGTTAGGTTAGGGTAGGGTTAGGTTAGGTTAGGTTAGGGATAGGGATAGGGTGACTGTTTGTACTTGTGTGTGGGACTGCCGTACCCGTGTAAAGTCGGTGTTTACATTTAACACTACAGTACTTACTCGTTTTAGTCCAAAACGAGTTAATATTTACCAACGAGGTATTTGCCGCATTTATTAAATTATTTTATATAATTATTACTAACACTTCATTGGTGTAAAATATTCTAACACTTGAAATTTACATTTAAGGTGCTGTCTCTAACTGAACTCTTTATAGTGTAGACAATTGACACTTTACGACTCAATTCTGACACTTTATTTCTTTGAGTGTAGAGGATTTATTTCGCGCGCAGTAGTGTTTTACTCGCGCTGCGAAACGTGGAGATCGTGCGAGTTTTTAATTGTTTACACAATTACGCCTGAATCACATAAGTGCGGTGATTCAATTGTTCGCAGGAAAAGATCGTAACTTGAGTGCCCGTTTTTCACGCGAAATACATTCATAATGCTCTGTTGAGAATTCATAATTGACTCTTTAAGTAACGTATATGCGTTCAGCGCGAGCGTAAAGTACGAAATGTTCGAATGAAAATTTGCCTTGGAGGTTACAAACGCACACGTGCGTGCACGCACGCACGCACGCACGCACCCATCTCCCTCTTCTCTCACCGCCCCGCTTTTCATTCTCTCTGACTTACTTTATATCTATATCTATATATATATATATATATATATATATATATATATATATATATATATATATATATCCACGTGCAGGCGCGCGCTGCGCTGCCTACTTCCTGCATGACCTTGTGACTTTACTTTAAACTAGTGGCACCGAGTCAAACCACACCTGTCTCATTGTGAGACAATTATTGAGTTACGTGCCCATCCGCTTTCGTCAAGCGTTAATTTTCTTCATGGCTTTCGATTGGCGCCGACGACTGGCCGACAAGACGGGGCATGTGCTGCCGGGCTGTCTCTAATCTGTGCGATCATAGCGCAGACACTGCGATCTCCGCTAAGTTTAGATAATTTTACTTCAAATTTGCACAGTTCGTGATTTCAAGGTTTGCGAGCGCGGCGGTGACTATAGCAAGTCTCGCTCGGCCCGCTATAATGCGCTGGCACAGTGCCAGCGAAGGTACGGCGGCGCGGCACGCTCCGTCCTCATGCAAGCGAGATGCCGCTGCACCCCCAGCCTCCGGGCCACGCTGTGTGTCGCCGTGTGTGTGTGTGTGTGTGTGTGTGTGTGTGTGTGTGTGTGTGTGTGTGTGTGTGTGTGTGTGTGTGTGCGTGTACATGTGTGCGTGCGGGTGTGCGTGCGTGCGTGCGTGTGTGTGTGTGCATGTGTGTGTCTCACGACTGGTCGCGTCCCAGGCGGGCCCCTTTACCGAATTGAAATTCAAACCGTGTGCATGACATCCAGACAATTCCGATTATTATGTCATTCCATGACAGTAAGTCTACGAGAAGAGGCAATAGCAGAATTTTACTCGTGTTTGTGTACGAAAAACGTATCACGGTGCTTTGTTTCCATTGCCACTCTATACGTATAGACGACAGTGTA